ATGATCATGTGATAAACAGATTGCAAACATGCAATTTAGACTTATCTTCTAGGAGCACTAACTTGTACACATAACTTAGTTGACACATAATGCAATAAAACATCAAACCAATGCAAGGTCTTTTTAACTATTAATCCAAGTATTGCTAATTGAGTTCTGAAGATCTGAAGATGTTTTAGTTTACACAGGTGAGTGTGTAGTCTATTGTCTAGTGAAATTTAACACCGAAATCACATGTGATGCAGGAGTACACTGAAACTATCCAAACACCTACTGGCGTCCTCACACAGCCAGATGGTTTCAAATGTTCACGTTTCCTCGTAGTCTGTCTGATCGACCTCAGATCTGTTGTTTCCATGACAGCATGGTCAGACTAAGGTGTTTTTAGCTCAGTCAGTGTATCGTTGTCTGAATATATTCAAAAACCAGTTCATGGCTGTCTATTCTATGCTATTCCAGACAATGACCACAGACGGTGAAAATAACAAACAGCAGTTCTAAACACGGATACCTGACTTCCCACATGCCGCATACACACTTCCATTTTAGTCTGTTCCTCAATGCTTTTCTGAGGTGGTGTAGCTTTGTGGTTAAAGATCGGAGGTGGTAACTGAAAGGTTGTAGGTTAGGTTATCACCCTAGAACTATCACTACATTTCACTGACATAATTCAAAGCATTTCTTACTCTTCCAAGGTAAGTTCATTGATATTGTCTCCCAGTTTGTGGTTTAAATATTCAAAGCGTTTCCAGCCGTCCTCAGTTTTGATCCAGCTCCAGCCTGGTGATCTCCAATCTTGGCCCAAGAACGGCATGTTCTTCCACCTGCTCCAGAGATCTGAATACAAGAGACTCTTATCTCAAACCATTATAACACAGCAAAGGCTTGTCACATATGTGACCCTGGACCACAAAACCAGTCATAAGGGTCAATTTTTTTAAATTGAGATTTATGCACGATCTCAAATCTGAATAAATAAGCTTTCCATTGATGTATGGTTTGTTAGGATCGGACAATATTTGGCCGAGATACAACTATTTGAAAATCTGGAATCTGAGGGTGCAAAAAAATCAAAATATCGAGAAAATCGCCTTTAAAGTTGTCCAAATGAAGATCTTAGCTATGCATATTACTAATCAAAAATTAAGTTTTGATATATTTACAGAAGGACATTTACAAAATATTTTTTTATGGAACATGATCTTTACTTAATGTCCTAATGATTTATGGCATAAAAGAGAAAAAAAATTGACCCATACAATGTTTTTTTGGCCATTGCTACAAATATACCCCAGCGACTTAAGACTGGTTTTGTGCTCCAGGGTCACATATCACATGATCAAACAATATCATCAGGATCTGATCAGACAGACAACACATAATAACAGTCATTCAAGGCTTTAAACGCCTTATTTCACAATCTTTATGTAAAACATTCTCTTTGTAAAAACAAAAATGACGCATTTTGATGTTCATTTGTATATTGAAGATAAGCTCTTGCTTCTTGAACAACTACTGCCAATACATTTGCTCAAACTCAAAGCCTGCCAAGAGCCTTATCTTTTTAAACATCGACAAAACACTAAAGACAGCTCAAATCTCTACCTCTATTGTTGTTTTACTTGCAAAATCGTGTATTTGTATTGATAACGGACGTATATTTAACTTTACTTACAGCGAGTCCTTTGTTATGGTGATAATTTTCTGCTTTCTTTGAATATTGACGGAAGTAAACAGTCAGAAAAGCGGACTGTAAGCCACGCCTCCCGTCGTTTGTGATTGGCCGTCGTGTTTGTATTTATTTTGTTGCTACCCGGAATTCCTCAGCTGATTGGCTCTCGGTCCTGTCGATCACTCACCGCATTTATCCCGAGCTCTCCGTCTCTGCAGCTTCTTACACGTGACACGGACGCTGCACATGTTGTCATGTTTTGATTTTGTAATGGGGGAAGGGAAATGGAGAGATGAACGATGGAATAAACTAACCAAGCATATTGGATCCTGCTGCATCACAAAGTAAACATTTCACTGCTTGCCTTGTGAGATAAAAACCAAATTATTAAAACAAACAAGTAAAGACAATGAACAGCAGCTAGAAAATGTAAAGATTTTCATTCTTAATTTGAATGGAAGTGAATGGTTACTGTCAACTGTTTGGTTACCAACATTCTTCAAAAATCATCTTTTGTGCTCAACAGAAGAAAGAAACTCTTATAAATTTGGAACAAGTGGAGAGTGAGTAAATGATACATTTTAATTTTGCGATTTTTAATTTTAATTTTAATTAACTATCCCAAAAATTAGGCCATGATTTACTCACCCTCAAGCCATAGGTGTATATGACTTTCTTCTTTCAGATGAATCCAACCGGAGTTATATAAAAAATTAATTAAAAATGTGTATATGTTTATTACAAAAACACATTGATTCACTACAGGAGGCCTTTATTCCCCCCCGGAGCCGTGTGAGGCACTTTTTGTTATGGATGGATGCACTTTATTGGACTTCTTTTGGGCTGTTGAACAGAAACAACTGCCCACTGCTATTATAAAGCTTGGAAGAGCCAGTATAAGTTTTAATATAACTGCGATTGGATTCACCTGAAAGAAAAAAGTAATACATGGCTTGAGGGTGAGTAAATCATAGGCTAATTTTCATTTTTGGGTGAACTATCCCTTTAAAGCCATTACTGATATGTAGGCCTTGTGACAATTTCCAGTATGTGACATCTGACTCATATTTGTGTCACGTAAAACCCCACCTAGATGAAAGTCCAAAATGAGCTGCAGGGTATTACAAGTCTTGCCATTAGTAAAGAACAACCAGTGAGACCCAAAAACCATGCTAAAAGTTACATGCATGCTGTGAACATAAATACAAGCATTTGTGTACATAGCAGGAAACTTATATGTGTGTTTATTGCCAATAATGTGCCAGTAAGGCTTCTTGACTCCTGAATAATTTTGTACTGTAAAGAATGGACTTGATTGATCAGCATCAAATTGTTTCTTACTTCATAATTATCATAAAAGAGACAAATGCTAACAACTCATAATAAGTCAGTAAAAATGAGAATGATTCTGACATGTGGTCACAGCTGGAGGTTTCTAAAAAAATATTTAAAGTAGTGTAAAGGCCATGGACACTCCCTCTGCAAGATCTAACCTGCCACAGTCTGCATTTGAGAGGCCAGAGGGGTAAGTTTTTATGTGCATGTGAAAACACTGCATACAATGGGTAAAAAAAAAAATACATGGCAGTTGCCAAATCTTCAGTCATGTGCAAATTGATGAAAATAAGCACTGAGTTCAGTTAAGTAACATCTGTAAAACCTGAGTTTTTTTATCATTATAAATATGCATTTATGGTACTTGGGCCATTGTCTGCTTCTTGAACTATCTTGAAGAGCTATAATCCAACAGATTTACAAATTATACTAAAGTAAACCGCATACACCCTTAGATAACAGTAACAGGGCTAGAAAGGTAAGAAAATGTTTTTGACTGCACTGTAAAAAATGACCGTGAATTTAACGGTAAAAGACTGTATAAATGCTACAGTAAAAACCTGTTAAATGGTTAACGGTAAATTCCCCTACTATAAACGGTGAAAAACTGTATTGGACATTACATGTATTGGACATAATTTTTACGGTAGTATACCGTTTTTGGAAGTGAAAAATACCGTATAATTTACAGTGAATAACCGTAAATTGACATTCCCAGAATTCCCTGCGTTACATTTCAAATTTGATGTTTTTTTGTTGAAATAACGATGTTTCTTCTTAGTTTTTTCTTATCAGTTTTGTATATTAGGGTTGTGTGTTACACCTAATGTTGTTAAATGAATGTTTATTGCATTATTTCAGTTTCATGTGTGTTACCATGATGGTGTTTAGTGTTTTGTGTGAATGACACTGTGCACCTTCTATATATGTTATTATTTAAAAGCTGCTTGTGATGGGCTTTGGTTCATCATGTGACTTTCTCATCACCATTTCTCATCACAGATTGTTTGACTCAACAATGCACACAATTGATCAAGTTACTTAAAATACCATTTCATATTTGCAAGGCAGAGCAGATATGGCTAGACAGTCAGCAGTCAGTCAGAATAAACAGACAACTTTGCACTTATGTGACACTGGCACAAATTAAATACACCCACACTGGGTGTGAATGTACTTGCTTTTTGTTCACCGCTTCTGCTGTTGTGCAACAATGGACAGAAGTGCTTGTTTGAAGCCATATCTTTCCATATCTCAGAACCAGGTGCTACCTTCTGCATTCCATAGCCTCGAATGTCATTTGTCTCTGTAAACTACAATGTATCCATAGATTCATGTGCAAAGGCAGTTTTCACATAACACAACAAAAATTAAACGCAAGGTAAATGCTATTCAAAAAAAATCTGACTTTTAATATATTGCAAAATCAAGTAACATGATATCTAGGTAGATAAAGTGGAATACGTAACCAGGATCAAGTACTGGCATGTAGAAATGGCTTAACCAAAACGGCTAAACAATACTGAGGTCCTAAAACCAGCAAGAGAATTAGCTGTTTTTGAGCCATGGGTTCTCTTTGGCATTTCATAGGGGCTTTTAGAATGGCACTTCTGCATGTATGAGTAAAATATGGACTCTGTACAGTAGTTAGCATTCCTTTAAGAAATGCTCATGTCAACATAAATTACACACTATACGTTGCTAACAAGCTGCTAAGTAAAAACTAAAAATACCACAGGGACCTGTTTGTGCTTGACTAAACTGTTGTAGTCCTTAAATAGCAATTTGTTACAGTGGCTTTCCGGTGTGATGTATAGCTGTATGTAATTTATGTTGTAGAACAAAATATTAACCGCAGACCTACTCACAAATCTTAGACCACAAGAAATAGATACATAGTAGCCTACTGAACGTTTTCAGTGCATATCTGTCAAGAACCCGGGTCATTTTATGCGTGAAACTTGCAAAAACGGCACTTTTAACATGACCCAAGTTAATCCAGATCTCGAAGCGTCTTTCCAGACTCCGCGGCATTTCTGCAACTGTAGAGCCACTTGATGATCCGAGCGTTGCGCTCGACAACTGATGACCCTTGACGCGCGGTCTCCTGCAACTCCTCCTCGTGCAGGCCGTCGCTGCTCCTGGAGAACCCGTCGTCTGACGTCGAGACGCTGATGCTCAGGATTTTGGAGCTGAGGTTGTCCGAGCGCGCGGAGAACTTTTCTCTGCCCAGGGACTCGATGACTTCACCCTCGAGGCCGCAGTATTTGAAGAACGCGTCGAAGTCCGCGAAGTTTTTCGAGTAGCGCGAACTGATGTCAGAGCTGGAGCGCGCCACCCCCCTCCGGCTCTTGCGCTCCTGCTCCTGGGTTTCTGCGACTATCCTGTGAGGAGGTCCTCTCGGCAAATCGTTTGTCTCACCCGAGTGGCCGTTTGAGATGGGTACATTTACCCGAGTGGCCTCTTTCCCGCAGTCCCTGCGTGTGGCGCATTCACCACCGCGCGCCTCAGAAAACGCGGTGGTCTTGTCTTTAATAGCGAATAACGACTTTTTAATTAATCGCCTACTCCCGCCAGGCGATCCTCTCAAGAGTTCACACTTCTGTCTGTATAATAAAATCGAGTCTCGTTTCTTCGAGCTGCTCCGTCTCACCACATTACTATCTTCTTCAGGCGACTGTATAGCCTCAACATCAGCACGAGCGGCGTTATTAACGGAACCGTGCCCGTTTGAAGACCCTCGGCTGCTCACGGAGGCAGACCCGATGGAACCGACCACTTGTTGGCTTTTTACATATTGAGGTTTAGTGGCTGCCAGCCTCTCCACCGCACTGACGCGTCCTTTATTCGCCTCACTTTCTCGCTCCATCTGTTTCCTCAAAAATTCGGGCCCCTTCACAAGAATGCGCGACGCGTCCACGTCGGCCGAGCCTTGCGTTTTCTTCAACATGATGCAGTCTGGATTAGTATTTTGTGTTAAATCCACAGCAGCTGTGTTGCGAAATGTGTTGAGGGGTCTGAAAGTTAGTACATAGTAGATGAGAACGCACTGACGCACACCTTTACCTGTTCATATTACTCATCTACTCCACCCACTAACAGGTCAAGGCAACGCGAGCTCTGGCACGAGGCAAAGGTAAGGAAACGTTGATTGTGACTTAACGTTTTCAGAACAGGGCTTGCAAATACTTTTAAATCTCTATGATTTTTTAAAAATAAGAATTAACCCTCATGTCATTTTCCGTGCATTTTGACCCAGAGAGGATTTTATTTTCCCTTATAATGTTAACTTGCTAACTTTACTCACACAAGGTATAACAACGTTCCAGGAAAATTTGGATACTTTTAGTACTTTTTTTAGGATTTCTTTCCCACCTTGTTGTAATGTTCCTGGTCAAAAATGACATGCCTAAAAAAAATTGCTTGTAAATCTCTCATAATGTTATATTATCATTTGTATTATCTCTTTTGTCAACTTGCTTTCTTTCAGTTAGCACAGGATTTGTTTTTCTTTTTGAAACTGATTTTTTGTCCATTTGTTTTTACTCAAAATACTGAGGTGCTGTCAGCTCAGATCTTTGAGGCCTACAGTACAATCAATCAGTCTCAAAAAAGAAAAACAAAACCTGTACTAATTGAAATAAAAGAAGCTGACAAAAAAGATCCAATATTTGGTGATAATATAGCATAATGAGAGATTTACAAGCAATTTATGATCAGGGACACCAAATTAGGAGTATCAGCAAATCACAAGGGTTAAACCGTAAAGAAATGTAAGGGAGGCCGGGGGTATTGTCAAACCTTTATAATCCAGGTGTGAAATACAGTTCATTGATATTTTGTGATAACAGATATCTTTTTAAAAGAATTTCATTCTTGACCTGATTCTTGTTTTTTTTCTCATCATCTGTTTATGCATTGTGTGGCCTGATTCAGTCATATTTCTCCCTTTGTGCAGGGTTGTAATGTCAAACAAAGTATAAAAAAAGGCAAACATCTTTTGACATCTGACCTGCTAAATGTTTGTTTGTTGTATCCTTGTGCATATGTGACTATCAAAAGTGGTCATTTCATAAGTGTTATCATGTGTCTGTACTTAATAAAAAGAAGCAAAACATATGCACTACACATACAACTTAATTGGGTTACACTCCTACTCTAATTAAAACCATTCTACAGATTTAGACTAATGTCAGAGAAACATCTAGATGAATGCAGGGTCTCCATGAAACCAGGAGATGGCAGCAGACATGAGGAGGTGTTGTACTGTTTGTGTATGAGAGCGAGAGAGTGCATGGTGAGCAGTTACTTCATAACATCTAATACGGTATACCTCATTTCTGATCAGTAAAATATCTTAGAATTGCTCTGGCTTTTCTCAGCCATATTCTTATCATTTTTATTTGGTGATCAATAAAATGACCAAAACAACTCTGGCCAGTAAGCATCCACTGAGAACACCCTAGCAACTACATAGCCACACATCAAAAACCACTGTAACAACCCCCATATCAACACCCTGGCAAGACTTTTTCCAGACTGGATTCCTGTGGAGTGTTTGTGCATTGCGCAATATGCAAAATGCACTAAATTGCAGACTTCATAAAGCAACTGTCCACTTCGCGTAACCCAGAATTAATTTATTCACTCAACCCAGAGTCAGAACCAGGAATTTGTGCAGATATAGTTTATGTGTTTTAAAGTGCCTGCTGTGCAGTTAGCTGGAAATTATCCAAGGCAATAACAGTACGCTAAAACCAATATATGGCTTCTCTGACCTCAGAGCTTCCAGAATTGTATATAGATCCAGACGAGATATAGGGTGAGACTCATTATCATGTCAATCTGGTCTGAAACATGAGAACATCTTTAAACCTTTAACATTCTGCATCACTTATACATCGCTAAATAAATATAATTGTATACAGATTGTATCAACACACCTATATTGGTATTGAACAGTAAGCCCAATCCAAATCCTGAAGGCTACAATGAGCTTTTCTCCTAAATTCAAAGCCCTCTTCATCGCATGTGAATTATAACATGTGAAGCCACAGCATGACAAATTACAACCAAAACCATGACCTTCCATTGCCTTGTTTACACATCTCACAAAGCAAATGGTTGTGATATGTCCATTCCAAACCTTAGAATGATCACTCAAGGTCTTTCTGAACAAATATATGAGTGATTCCAGACATGATCTCTGATAGAAAACAGCAATCTGATTGCATGACCTTCAAGGTTAATCATTTAGGTCTGGAGTGAGGTATGATTATGTCAACCTCAACACACAACCTCTACTAGATTGGCAAGGGTATTTAGGTCTTGAATAATGCATCACTGATGTCAACAGGACCAAATTATCATCTCTTTTTAAAAACCTTGGTAGAGTTTATCTCTACCTCTGAAGATTTAAAGGAATAGTTCATCTAAAATGAAAATGATCTGATAATGCATTCACCCTCAGGCGTTCCAAGATGTAGATTAGTTTGTTTCTTTATCTGAACAGATTTGGAGAAATTGATCATTACATTACTTGCTCACCATTGGATCCTCTGCAGTGAATGGGTGCCGTCAGAATGAGAGTCCAAACAGCTGATAAAAACATCACAGTAATCCACAAGTATTCCACACCTCTTCAGTCCATCAATAAATGTCTTTTGAAGTGATAATATGTGTTTGTATGAAACAAATCCATCATTAAGGTATTTTAACATTAAAGTGTCACTTCTGAGTACATAATCTATAATAAAATTTCCTCCAGTGAAAAAGTCCATTCCCTGTTGTCTTCTCACATCAAAATGCACCGACATATTTGTTTAGAACTGTTTTGGACTGTTTTCGCTTGTAAACGGTGCTTGATCCGTGAATATTTCTCTCCTGATTCAGACGAGATGACATTTTTCACTGGAGAAATAAATATTGTATATAGAGTACTCATATTTTAGCTGGAAGCAGCAGTTTGAAGATAAAGCTGTCTTAATGTTGAATTTGTTTATTAAAAACAGCCCACTAATGGATTATTTATGTTTTTATCAGCTGTTTGGACTCTCATTCTGACGGCACCCATTCACTGCAGGGGATCCATTGGTGAACAAGTGGTGTAATGATAAATTTACGATGAAAAAACAAACTCATCTACATCTTGAATGGCCTGAGGGTGAGTCAATTCTCGGATGAGTTTTCGGATGAACTATTCCTTTAAGAAAAGTTCAAATTCGGAAACAAGTTTAACATTCACTCAAATCTGAGTGGTATTTTCTGCAAACAGCATATTGTGTCCGTATGCAAGGCTAAAGATGTTAATGTGAAGACATAATTAATGAAAGTTCCAAGATTTGCTCATTACCAAGAAGATTTGTGTGCTGAGCAGCTGCAAACCAGCTGAATTTCAATTTGTGAATACAGCATGTATGAGCTGCACAGATCAAGTCAAATAGATCAATATCTGTTGTGTTGCATAATCCAGTCAGTCAAAACCAATAGAATGACTGTCAGTGAATATCGGTTTTGTTGTTGTACAGAGAAGCTATTCTGGATCTCTCAGTAAGTTGGATTCATACATCACCTCACTTAAAGTTTGGCAATGCTTTAGTCACTGACCTTGGAATATGGTTTTCATTATATCTCTAACTGGTCATTCTCTTTGACAGGTTATGCATCAACGCCAAAGCAGGAAAGCTGACAAACCTATTAGTATCTCTAGAGTGGAATTATTTACCTACAAATACTCTCACTTATCTATGGAAATCACCAGATTTTTAACATGCATAGGAATCCCTTTGTGCCATATTCTAGTCTTCAGTGTCACATGATCCTTCAGAAATCATTCTAATATTCAAGCCCCTGCCCCTTTAATTGCCAGTGCTAAAGTGAATTTTCTGTCCTATCGAGGTGCCCCTAGAACACGATTTCTGCTGAGGGTGATCCCACCTGCCCTGGGAACGTGATTTCTTCCCCTGCCCCTGCGGAGGTCTGTGCAGGCCACTGACACTGAAGTATAATCTGGTTTCATAACAGAGACCAAGTATGGCTAAGCAGGCCGGGCAGAAAACTGAATAATACTGCAATCTAAACTTGTTCTAAATATGGTCTGGAAAACAGGACTTTCCCACAACCTGACCACTTAGATCTGTATATGCTATTGTGCTGTTTAAGGGGATAGTGATACCAATAATAGAATCGGGACAGATTAGGCTTAGGAAAGCCTGAGAAAAGTTTCTTAGTCATAACTGTGTAGCTTACTGGCAAAACATAATATGAAACCTTTACTCGAAGATGGGCTCTGGATCCTCTATGTCAGTGGTTCCCAATCCTGGTCCTGGAGAACCCCCAACACTGCACATTTTAGATGTCTCCCTATTCAAACACACCTGATTCAACTCATCAGCTCATTAGTGAAGACTCCAAGACCTCAAATGTGTCAGATAAGAGAGACACCAAAAACGTGCAGTTTATCTGCCACATTAGATGCGGTGTATGTGCTGCCTTTACAGTGTAAATACAACAAATAGGCCTACACTCTTAAAAATAAAGGTGCTTCAAAAGGTTCTTCAAGCGATGCTATAGAAGAACCATTTTTGGTTATTGCCAGTTGTGTAGGAATATGTCTTATAGTGAGTGTATGAGAGAGTGGATGAAAGTGAAAGTGTGAGTCAGGCTTTCGCTTTATTTATGTTATGAAATACTGTCAGCAATGGAAGTCCTTAGAGGCCATGGATTAGTAATATTTTTCTGTCTCGTTTTCTTGTGATCGAGACTTAGTTATCTCGTAATCTTGACATAACAAATTGTTTTCGTGTGATAGCAACTTGATTATCCCGTGATCTCAACATACCGTAAGTTATTTTCTCTGATAGCAACTTGATTATCTCGTGATCTCGACATAAGTTGTTTTCTCGTGATCTCGACATATCAAAAGTTGTTCTCATCATCACGACTTAATAT